GTGTGTGGGTGTGTGTGTGGGTGTGGGTGTGGGTGTGGGTGTGGGTGTGGGTGTGGGTGTGGGTGTGGGTGTGGGTGTGGGTGTGGGTGTGGGTGGGGGTGGGTGTCTGTGTGTGTGTGTGTGTGTGTGTGTGTGTGTGTGTGTGTGGGTGGGTGGGTGGGTGGGTGGGTGTGGGTGGGGTGTGGGGGGGTGCGGGTGTGGGTGTGGGTGTGGTTGTGGGTGCGGGCGTGGGTGCGGGTGCGGGTGCGGTTGCGGGTGCGGAGGCGGGTGCGGGGCGGGTGCGTGGGTGGAGGGGAGGGAGGGATGGAGGGATGGAGGGATGGAGGGATGGAGGGATGGAGGGATGGAGGGATGGCTGGATGGCTGGCTGGTTGGCAGCATGGATGGATTAATGGATGTATGGATGGGTAAGTATGTAGATATAACGATGTATATGTATTCATACAAATGGACAGATCCAAAAGTGGACAAATGTGCAGATAGACAGATAGATAGACATGTAGATATGTGTCCGTGTGCATGTAAACACATACACATATGTGTGTGTGTGTCCGTTTATCTATTTAACCCTTTGATTTGTTCATACACATGCCCAACTCCACGCCCCATGACATGTCGAGACACCGTACTGCTTGTCCGACATTGGCTTAAGTGCACCATCAGGGCGGTCATTCGGCTGATCCAAGCCGTCCTGTTTTTCTACAAGGGTCCATCATGATAGTACCAACGCTCAGGGAAGTCTGCTAGTCAGATGTTACCGCTGACGGAGGTGTCCTGCGTATGCTCCCGGAAGAGAAATAAGTTGCTGTCGTTCGTCTGCGCCCCCAAGACAATGGTTGCTGGGTTGACGCGCCCCAAACGAAGCAACTCCTGGAGTCCAAAAACGCGAGAATTATGCCGACACTATCCTTTTCGACCATCCATTCTCTGGTGCCTCGTTGGTGCAGGTCAATCATTAAGCTCCCTCTCTCTTCACTCGAAGTCCTGGGGCGCCAATGGAAATGTAACGCCATCCGTCACAGGCGACCATGGTGCCGAGTAAGTGGTCATAGTGAGATTAAGTGCTGGAACCTTAGTGCCAAGTAGGGCATGTTGCGTGCGAACCAGTCCCCGGGAAATGTCTTCAACATGATAGCAGTGTGCTGTATGAGTTGAGCTGCCCGAGCAAGGCACGTCTTGTTTACCTGCGGATCTGCACGAGCAGGAGCACCAACGAGGTTGCATCAGCACACGCATAACTGAGCCATGCCTTCAGGGTGGCTGTGGCACAGCCCAAGCTGGCTGCGATCTTCGTTGCGCTTGCCAAGGCGAGAGACAAGTTCATAGCACTGAGGCTACCTCCAAAGGTGTGACTCTTCGCAACCAGAACTTCATGCACTCGACAGCCTACCTGATTCGCTGATGGCGCCCTGGAAGAGTCCAGCTGACTGAGGCGAGACGTACTGCAGCTCCACGAGACCTCAAGTGCTTGAAATAATCCAGAACCGCTGCGAGGTGTGACGTTGACGCTCCATGCCGTGTTCAGCCGCGCCTGCCCCAGAGCTCTGTCCGTGGATGGCCACACGCGAGGCATCACCGCCGAAGGCCGCGACCTCCTTCTGCACCCATCGCAGGGCACCTTGCGGGACAGGTGTGAGCCCTTGGAGTGACCGCTGGATCATTGAAAGAATGGCAAGCAGCCAGAAAGTGAATGCAAGGAAGCTCTCCACCAACTTCGGCTGCGCCAAGGCACTCTGAATGTCAAGGATGCCCCAATTGCCCGTAGACCGCTTTGCATCCACGTCTTCGTGGAAAGCCATCCAGCCCAGCGGTCCCGTACGGTAGTTGAACGAGACACAAACGACATCGTGAAAAGCGGCCAGAGCACTCCTTGAATTTAAATCGGCAGAAGCCGGTCTCTCACGTCTCTCTCACCTCTCTGGTTGGGCTATGACGGGGCTTTAGCTTTCCGGCTCAATCTGGACTGCAACCGTCCAAGAGTCATGTTGTAGGGCTCCGCCTCCCCGAATTGATTGGAACCACCGTAGATGAACACCATGACCGGCAGCTTTTTCTTCGTCTGCCAAGCAAGGCGTGGACTCCACACGTTCGCCTTCAAGCAGTCCTCGCTGCCGTAGGTCTGTGTGGGATCCCCTGCTACCTGCATGCAGGCCGGACCCCACATGGTCGCCGTCACACTGCCTCCTGGGTAAGTCTCCTGAAAATCCACGGGAGGTTGAAAACGCTCCGCCCTTGCAAATGGGACGCCGAGAAACTGGTCGACTGCTGCCCCACCTGCACTTGCCGGTAGGGTGATTCCTATCACAGAACCTCCGCTAGTCTGCGGCCACTGCACAGACTGCGCAGCCGCCAGCTGCAGAGCAGTTGTCACTATCAATGACATGAGTGGTCCAGCCATCATCACACCAAGGTCTCTACCCATGGCTCCACTCGTTATGATTTCGCCTTCGCACGCGTGGTGCTTGTGGCAAAACCCTCAAGAGTCTGAGCAGAGGGACGGCGACGGGGGAAATCGCACCTTGACACGAATGCCCCTGTCTCTATCTGATGCTGCACTCTTGATCAGTAGCATGCTGCTCCGCTTGCGACTCTTTCTGTGCAACACTGCAAGTTGCGAGACTGGGAGTTGTGCGCGACAGTGTCAACTCCAAAACGCCCTGCTCAAACAACATTCAGATTAGGTCATTCGTTCCCTGCCAGCCCCGTCAATAGTCCGCTGTTGGACGTCATGAAGCTCACTTGGCTCCTCTTCAGCTTCCTCTTCGTCGGCCATTGCTGTTCTATCTCGACGGTCGGCAATGATGCGGACTCGAGTCCAAACAGCTGCCAGAAGTCTGGGTGCCAACATGTGCCTGGAATCTGGAGCAGTCATGCGCAGCAGGGTCCAAGCGATTTATTCGGAGTTAGCTTGTCTTAAGAAAACTGGCCCGCTGGCGCCTGCAAAGGCTAAGGCTATCAATCCACAACTTGTATCGGTGCGATGACACTGGAACTGCAACTAGACTTGTCTCTCTACCCTGAAGGTTCACTAGAACGACTGCCGGATGGTTGCAAAAAACACACATATTAGTACGGTACTTTACAGCTACGGAAAGCTTGGGTCAGACAGCGACAAAGCACTTGTCAAGATCTTGCGAGCTCGACCATTCACCGGCTTAGCCGGCCGCAGCTGCGCAGATCCTCGGGCAATGTCCGCTTTGACGGCTCCGCATTCACTGCCGCTGAGGACCCCACCAGGAATCGCGTCTCACTTGCTGGCGCCGTTGTGTGTCCTCGGCTAGCGGGAAGCAAAACTTCATTTTGCAGCTGAATGCTCTGGGGCGTTACGAAATAAAGACATGCCCTTCAGGCAGATTATCCAGGTCCCAGCCAAGCATTCCCCGCTAAGGAGAAGGCTCAGCTGCAGGGGTAGCGACGCGTTTGGCCTTCGGTCGCAAATGGTCCACGTGACTACTGCTCAGCAAGGAAGAAAGCACCGATTCAGCCGATCATAACACTGCCTTTGGGAGCGTCGAGCTTGGAGAGTTCAGGAACTTCACGATGGTGTCCTGTGGATCACTACTGAAGGTCACTCCTCGGAGATACAGGAGCAGGGCCGCTCCTCAGCCTGCTGCTCCCACTTCGAGCGCTGCTGCTGCAAAGCCCGTTCCTTCCAAAACGGTGGCTCCAGTGATTCAGGGCATTCAAGCCGGTGCAGTGGCTGCGCCGTCTAGAGCTGTGGAGCCTGCCTCTGCCTCCTCCTCGCGCTGGCGGCGGATGAACTTCGCCGTCCAGGCCGCCTCCTTCAGCATTAGCTCCTTCCAATGAAGGTCGAGGACTGTCTTTTGTGTGCACTTCAGCTGCGTCCTGGATGCAGCCATGCCTAGGGTACACGAAGTCCCCCATGTCAGGACACTGACAAGCCTGCACAAAGTGTCATGGCTCGTGGCAAGACGGCATACCCGAGCCGTGTAGTCAGGTCTAAGCTCCAAGCGCGACAAACTGGGTCTGAGGAGATTCCACTCCCGACGCTCTGCTTCGAGCCACAACCCTTCCATCAGTGTTGAGTGTCGGGTTTGTCTGGTGCACTGGTGCAACGCTGCTGATAGTCGGAGCTGGCCCCCTTGAGACGATATCTCAATCTCACATCAAGTAACCCTTTCAGATACATGATACAGGTGATCACACTTCAGGCATCTTTCGGTTGCACGTGGAGCAGGTGCCTGGTGCAAGCTTCGGGCAGGACTGCAGCATTGCACAGTCCGGTGCCCAGACCATGCATGAAGAAGGGTGCGCACTGGCCGCAAAAGTTACCAAGCTTGAGCGAGGACTTGCCCTTGCCTTTCAGAACCAGGTAGCTGCCTGGCACAAAGCACAAGCGAAGATGTCCTTCCGAAGCGGCATGTGCAGGAGCCCGCCTGCAGAAGCGCCATGGCCACGAGCAGTCCAGGTACTGCACTTGCAGCCAGGCCTCGGTCCAACATGACCAACTTTTGTTCAGAGGCAGCCTTCCAGACGTCCTAGGTCCTAGGTCCTAGCCTCCTACTTCGACTCTCGCCGCTGCGCCTTGCCTACAGTACGTAGGCCGTGTCTCCATGCGGTTGGCTGTCTCCTTCCACACGGTTCGTAGAGCAGACCCGCTCCGTCCACAGTCAGCCCAGCACGACAGCCACAAGACAGAGGTGCATCCCATGCGTGTCTCAACTACGTAACTACGCGCAACGAAGCGGCGTCGAAAACCCCATCTGCACAGCTATTTTCTGAGCCAAACTTAAACCGAGCGCCCTGCCACAAATGGGTGGCGGTCGATACCTGGATTTTGGCACTAAGTAGGATGAAGCGCGCCAGGGCTTACTTTTAACCTTCGCTGTCAATCAAGCGCGAGTGCTGCGGGCTGCCCAGTGCTCCTTTAGGTCTGGAGGCAAACCCTAAACGTTCTGCAGATCTTCTCACCCGCTTGCTGGTGCTGCGTACCAACATGATGCTCAGCAGCTCTAGCGGTCTCAAAACTTCCCTGCATTTGTTGAAGCAGAGGGCAGAGGACGTGCCAGACAAAGATAGACAAAGTGGTTCAAACTGATGTTGACCAAGTGGATAGCATGCAGCTGCTTGCATCCCAGCTGCGGCAGATGTGCAAGTCGAAAGTAAGTCCCTCCAAGTGCTGTGTTCCTGCTGCTTCAGCACAGCACAACCCCATGAAACGAGGCCATAATTACATGCTCCACAAAACCCCCGCAAGGTCTCCTGAAGGCTTCATCAGTGAGCTCGCGGTAGATCACGCTCGTCTTGGCCAGCTCGTCTCCTTGGAGGGGCTTGGTGGCATTGCTGAAGCGCGCCGCAGCGTGAAGTGCAAAAGGGCATCCCCGACTGAGGCTGCGTCGATACGCAGCTTCCGGCTTAGAAGCTGCTGCCACGTGGTCGGTGCCGCTCAAAAACCTGCGTCACACCCCAGGCAAACTGCGGAGCGAGTACTCTTTCGGTTCCCGAGCTGCCTGGTGGGGTAGGCATTCAGCAGATCGACGTACCGCCGTTCCTGGCATTGGTTAGCTCTGAGGCCCACAAATTCCGAACGAGCTAGTCGCGACTTATGGCTCCTCCGAGGAGTTGTCGTAGATTTCGTCGTAGAGAACATCCCAAGATAAGTCGATGAACAGGTTCGGATGTTTTTCTAAGCGGTCTTCAATGAGCTGCACATGGTGCTGAATGGTCAGCGGGGCCATCAGTGGCAACTGGATCAGTGCAAGCTTTGGGTCAAGCTGCTTTGACAGGCCCGCCATGTGGACCCACACGATCTTGTTCTTTGGGTACCACTTGAGGATCTCGTCCATCAAGTTCAGGAACATGAGCCCATTGGACTGGTTCCCCAAATCACTGTGGAGTGCCATCGGGATGTCTTGTCTCTGCAACTCATCCATAAGAGGCTTCCACGACTTGATAGAACTCACATCGACGGGGAGGCCTTGGTCGTTCTTCCAAAGCGCCTGCTTCACGACGTTTATCTCACCAGCCCAGCGGAACATGCCCGGAAACTCCTGCTGAAGCAGTTTCAGCTTCTTTAGGTTGTCCTCGGCATCTGCATGCAAGTCGAAGAAAGATATGGACGGTGTGAGCACAGGCCCAAGCGGGTTCGACGAGAGCGTGTGGTAGTTGTCCAGGATACTTTGAGCATTGAAGAAGTCGTTCTTCAAACTCGGCCGAATCGGGGTACCCGGACAGTCGAGGTAGTAGGTGCAATTAGACGATATCGGAAGGCGCTGGCCGATGCCATAAAGGTTGGCGAAGAGGATGCCGGCACGCCTTAGCCTCTCGATCAACTGGTCGAAAGGAACAGGCGGACCCCCGAAAGGCCGTGCATGTAGATGTGCGTCAACAACTGGCCACTCGTCGGTCGCGACTCGGTCGTAGCAGGTTGTGGAGTGTTCCGTGAAATCTTGCAGGGACACAGACGGAGATGTCTGCAACAACCTCACTTTTTCAGCTCGCTGAACCTGCCAGGGGTCTAAGTTCAATCAACTGCAGACTATGCCCTTCCTATACAGTCAAGCTCCAGGGTGCGAGCTGTCCTGGGATGTAAGACTTTTCAGCTGCTGCCGAACCTGCTTGACGTGGTCGGAGTGTTGGGCTTCCTTGCCTTTCACCTCCCAGAAAACAGCAAGAAAGAGGTGCGCGAAAAGCAAGGTTGTGTAATTGGGTTCGTGGGCGCTACGGCAGCGCTGCAACAGAATGCAAGGAGTTGCAATCGTGAATCAAAGGCGACCTTCGAGTCTCTGAGTGCTCCCTGTCATCAGCCATGGATCACGCGCCTGCGCCTGCTGCTTGTCGGCGTGCTTCAAAGGCGCCGCCTCTTTGCAGGAAGGCTGAGGCAGAAAGATCCCAGAACCCCAGAAACCGACTTGCTCAGCTGCACTTTCTTGGGATTTGTAAAAGACTGCTTAACACAGGCTCGCGTTGGCCGGACTCGGCAGAAGGTACGTGCGGAGATCTTGCCAAAAGCTGCCCGCCTGTTTCGCCTGTTTCCGTGCTGCTTGCTGCGCAGGAAGTGCTGCCTACCACTAGCAGGAGCACGTGCCCACGAAGTCCGTTTCTTGCTTCAAAGATGGCGATGTTCACCGGCCTTTGCCCTGCTCTCGCAGATCTTCGGGGCGGTGTACCCCAATCCTCCCAAGCTTTTGTTTGGGACATGGCTTGCAATGAAAGATCTTCCAAGTGAGTTCGCCAGGGCCTGCCACATCAAAGAAATTCTGACCAAGAGCAATGCGACGAAATGCATCGTCGCTCAAGTGCCGATAAATCTCGCTGGTTTTGTTGAGTTCCTGCCCTTGGCACAAGATGGCAGCTGGTGAAGCATACCAGCAATGACTAGTGACTGGAAACGCCCCAGGCACATCGCTAGCTAAATGGGCACCACATGATACAAGCACATCTAGGCCGGGCACTGTACACCTCCTCTGTCTTGACAGCAGCTGCCACATGATCCGATCCACTTAAAAAGCGCGTCGGAAAGTCATTGATTAGTTTGATGTAAGGCTTCTCCTCGGCTGCAGAATTGTAGATCTCGTCGTAAAGAACATCCCAGGAAAGGTCGATCATAAGCTTCGGAAACTTCTTCAGCCTGCTTTCGATGAGCTCCACATGATCCTCAATGGATGTCGGCCGCTGGAGGAGTGAGGCAGAGAGCTTAGGATCCAGCTGGCGGGAAAGCCCGGCAAGGTGCATCCAAATAATCTTGTTTTTCGGGTAAAGTCTCAGTACTTCGTCCATCAAAGGCAAAAACTTCTGACCATCTGTGTCATCTCCCAAGTCTGCGTGCAATGACAGGGGGATGTCCTGTTTGCGAAGCTCTGCCATGAACGGGCCCCATGTCTTGATCGACTCGAGGGGCACAGGCAGGCCTTGGTTGTTCGGCCACAGAGCCTGCTTTACCAAGTTGATCTCGCCGACCCACTTGAACATTGATGGAAACTCCCCTTGGAGGAGCTTCATCTTGTACAGAATTTCGTCTACGTTGTGGAGGTCGAAGAACGACATAGAGAGGGTAATCACAGGGCCGACGGGGCTATCACTGAGGATCTTGGCATTGTCGAGCACGCTTTGTGCATTGAAAAAATCATTCTTCATGCTCGGTGTTATATTCACTCCTGGACAGTCCAAGTAGTAAGTACATGCAGAATCTATTGGCAGACGTTGGCCAATGCCATAGAGTGTTGTGAAGAGGATGCCCGCCCTCCTCAATCTCCCCAGCAGATCCGCAAATGGAACTGGCGGCCCACCAAAAGGGCGTGCATGCAAATGGGAGTCAACGACCGCCCAACTGTGCTCGGGCTCTGGGCCTCGTTCGTAACAGCTCGCTGATTCCTTCTGAAAGTCTGCCAGTGTCAGGGTTGGGCTTGTGACCCGGGCACCAGCCTTCACAGAGAACACTGATTCTGACAAAGCCTTCATGGACAGGTGTCCATGACTACACACAAGCCGGTTGTTGCCTGCAGGCCAAGACCCGACATGACCGCTCGCGAGGACGCATGCCTTATATCGCCCAACACAACTCGACTACTCTGCAGAATTTGCAACTCAACAAGCGCAGCAAAGGCCGACGAGATGCTCTAGCTGCACCAGCGTCGAAGCATCTGGGTCCTGGTGGCAGCTAGGAAGAAAATGCCTCGTGTTCATGGTGCACATTCGTGCACTGCTCCATTCTCTACTGGTAGCACACCAACGTCCCAATAAGATCCAATAAGCATTTAGGGCCTTCGGTGCCATCTGCTTTAGCTTACGGTTTCCAGTTCGTCACGTTCACTTGGATTCGCCTTCGCTTTGCAGGGTCCAGGACTCTCCAGCGATGACCCAGAGAAGGTCTGATTTTCGCGCATCACTACAGCTTACTCTGCTTCTAATTGTCGCATCCCTGGAAATGCTCTGAGTGACTCTCTCCCATACTCCACGATCCCCATCGCAACAGCAGTCGTTTCAAGATGCTTCAACCGACTCCACTCCAACAAGCAGTTAAAGTCTGTCCTCTGGAGCTGCACAAGCACCATCTCCACAGGCTAACTCGCCTTTTTCGCGCCGCGCGACCGGCAAAACAAGCAAGCCGACATCAAAATCATTGTTGTTTCGGCGGGTGAGTACAGCGCTACGGGGAACCTGCGACGCGTGGCCCAGCTCCAAGCAGCACGACAAAGATCCAGCATAAACCTGACAAAGATCAGCATAAACCTGGCATCAAGCATCTGTATCGATCTGATCGACGTGCGCTTGGCAACTGGCTTCGCGCAGAGCAGGTTGGTCTTGACGACGAACACGGCATTTCGAACACGTGGCACTGCTTCAGGGCTGCTGCTTGCCAACTGCTATTCCTTCAGAAGGTAGTTGGTTGCTGGGTTTGTCTCTGAGGCTAACAAGTGCCACAAAGGCATGGAGTTCGGTTCGCTGCAGGGCCGAAGATGAAAAAGCTTCACTACTCGAAAAAACAATGAACCCTGAAGATGGCTTAACTCTTGTTTCTAGACGTCTCTTCAACCCAGGACACAATGAAATCAAGAAATGATTCTTCACCCGTCGCGCAGGTCAACCAAAAGCTACATCTATTGGAATCCGATGAACGGCCTGCACCAGTCTCTGAGTCACTGCGGGACAGAACATGACACAGGAACCACCACGCGGAGCGACTTTTCTTGTTGCTAAAGCGGCAGCTTTGAATTTCGCATGGACTCATGCAGCAGCTCGAAGAGCAGCTGGCCTCCCCACAGAAACAGTAGCCCACCCGCCCTAGATGAGAGGACATGAGAGGATCCTGGCATGGGATTCACACAACGTCGCATGAAGTTGCACTTTCGGGCGTTGCAGCCTCGGACTGGAGAGCCACAAAGCCGCGCACAGTGGGCTTCCGTCAGACGCACCTGAGCTGTTCTGAGCCCAGCTGAAGGAAACACAATGCAAGAACTCAGCATAGCCTCGTCAGCAAAAAGATCTAACAGTTTACATCCGGATGCCACATTGCAGAGCATACAGGCAGTCCCAGCAAGCCAGGAAACGACGGTAGACCCGCAGACTTCCCGCAGCAAGGCTAGAACATTCTTGCCGAACCACGAAGCCTATACAAGCTTAATCACTTCTCAAATGACTATGTTCCGGAGGTGGAAGATGCAGTCTTGTCGCAAGCATCTGGCCGGTGAACTCCGCTGGGAGTGCTGCGCACACGTCCTCAGCCGGCTGCAGCGAACTAAGGCTAAGGCTAAGGACGGCCTGATACGGCCTGTCGACACCGAACTAGGAATCACACTTCTGTCAAACTGAAGCAAATGAAGAATCCCCAAGCGGCATCAGACTCTGGATGACTCTGGTGTAGACGCCAGGCCATTTTCTACTTCTAAGTGCCTTTCCAAAGATATGGCAGATGTGACAATTGACCTATCAGAGAACCCGGACTGTCACCTTCACTCCGCCGACGACTCCCTGCAAGCAAGCATCAGAAAAAATGCCGTTCTCGACCTGACAGAGCCAATTGCGAACTTCATGCGGAGACCATTGCCGAGGATGCAGATCTCGATTCTTCACTGAGACACTTGGGAGGACTTCCCGCTCCGTCCCACAGGCAGCTTTCACTCTCAGAGCTGCACCCGTTCGCAACGTGGAAAGCGTGTGTTCGGTGTCTGATGCAGCCGGAGCCAGGGTACAGATGACGGAAAGGAAAGACGTATTCAAGCGAGACAAACATCGTGCAAGCAGCTTTGTGAGCGCTGAAGCTCGGAAGGCATGCGGTGGAATGCGCTGCCTGGCAGACATAAACCGAATGCACTCTTTCAGTGCGTAGAGGGACGCATTGATTTCGGCTCCTTCGTGTTGTCGCTCACGACAATGATTTGCAGAGTCCTTCCGCCGCTCCGTTCCAGCACAGTCCACCAGAGTCAGGCATCCGCCTGTATCCAGTATTCTTATAGTGCAGACGGCATGGCTTCGAGAACTCTCGTCGTTTGCTTGAGTGACGAAGGTGGCCCTGCGCTGCCTGGCGGCCTGAAGTGCGGCACAGGCTGCCTCGACGTTCTCTGGAAAGATCTCAGCAGCGCCTTCGGCTACAAAGAAATTTCCAGCTGCCTCGCGCACCTCGCGAAGCTTCAGCTCGGGCAAGTTTGGAACCTGTAAATCGAAGCAGCGCGAGCCCCGAAGCTCCACAAAGCCGATCGAAAGCTTCGATTCTCCACGGAATAAATCCTCTGCTGCTAGCGTCTCGATGGCTCTCATGGTGTGCGTCTTGCCGCTTCCAGTCTGGCCAAACATCAACACAGTGCTGGCCTGCCCCCTACGAGCTGCAGATACGAGATTCGCGGCACAGACTTTGTATACTTCTTCATCCTCTGCCGATTGCGAGAAGACCTGGTCAAAGGCAAAGCGCAAGTGGTGCACCATGGGGGTACGGAGATCCGCTTGGAACAAGCAGTTGTGAAGAACCAGCTGTGATGGCGTCCCAGGGCCGGGGATGATGTGCAGAACGTCGAAATCATTGCGCTTAGCGACCTCCTCACTAAACAAAGGCCGCTTCCGCGCATAAACCTGAACTGGTTTCGCTTTTGCGGAGCTTTGGCTCTGACCAGTTGGAAGCAACATTCCCTCCACTGGCTCTTGGACAGACGTGGGAATCTTCGCCTGGTACTTGTCGATTGCCTCCATGAAGAGGTCTCGATGAAAAGCACGCAGCTCATTCTTGTCAAACATCTGCCTCCAGAGTTCAGGGGAGCACTGTGCATTGCTTGGCTTACTAGGGCCTAGGGCTCAGCAGGATGTGAAGCCGGAAACAAGCAATGTGCAAAGTGTCAGCGCCTCCCCGCTGCGCCAACGGAGGCGGGCCTTCCTCTGGCCTGTGCCCTCTGCACCGAAGGGCCTTCGGAGGCACTGCGAAGCCGCCCAGGAGGGCTGCGCGTCCTGGGGCCAGGCCTGCCACGCACCGCAACTATCGGCAAGCCACTTGCAGAGGACTGAAAGCCAACCTTTCCATCGGCTCGTCGGATCGCTCGGACTGGCGATTCTGGCGCTTCTCACGCAACCCTTCCTGTCAGATGGGCGAGCATGTGATGGAAAGGCTATCCACATGCAGACTACAAACTTCTAACGTCTTGTCTTCAGAACCACCGGATCGGACCTCCCTTGCTGCGAGGCGCTCTCGCAGTGCCACTGGCAACTTGGGAGCTAAAGCATCGCGGTTGACCTGGCAAAGCACCGGAAACTGTGCTTAGACGAGAGCACTGCGCCGTGCAGGCTCGGTCCACTTGCCACCAGACTGCGCTCCAACAAAGAAATGCTCCCGAAAACCCCTTCCTGCTCTGTGGCGGTTCAGCGATGTTCAGCGGAATCTACTTATTGCCGGCCCAGGGGGGGCCCCTATATAAGGAGCCTACACATGGTGGCACCTGCGGCTGCGGTCCAGCTCCAAACGCCTGCGGCCTGTCGGCGAATCGGCACATGCTTGCACATGACTCGAAGAACACACGCGAGCAAAGCATCCGAGCATCCCCGAACTTGCCTCACCGGTGGTGCCATTGCCGGCGACGCTGGGGCAAAGGCATCTTGGACAAGGCTCTGCTTCAGCGACGACGACGCCACCTCCGGCAAAAGAGTGACGTCAAACTCCAAGTCCGTCAGCTCGGCAGTCTCGACATCGCCGACGCTGTCGTGAGGCACGACCTCTTCGTCATCTCCGATGCTGTGGGGAAGTGAGGGTGTCCCTTGTGTTTCACGGGAGTCCGGTCTGGAGGCAGTGGCAGCCGTCGCTGGTGAGAAATGCTGCTCCGGGCTGACCGAAGGTGACTGCGGGTTTGGGGCAGTGTTTTTGTACAAGGGTGGCTTGCCACAAGACTGGTGGGTGGGCGTTTTCTCCTTCGGAGCTGCCTGGCCCACATTTCTCCCCATCCGATCATCGCCATCCGCGCTCCAAGGTTTGCTCTGCTCCACAGCGCTTGCGTCCAAGCCTGGGATTTTCTCAAGCTCCGTTTCCGGGCAATCTCCGCAAATCGAAGACCTGAACAGGGACTTGCGAATTGCCACCTGCCGGGCCAAGCACAGCCCGGACACACATCCCTTCGCTGCCGAATTGCTTCAGCTGCCGGAACGGCTGCGAAGGCTCTGCTGGAGACCTTTCCTCGCAGCAAATCCCAAGCTTGCGGTGCGAAAAATGAGAGAACAGCAAGATGAATGCTTTCTGCGATTGTAGCTTTACTCGCTAGACTTCTGCGCGGTCTGCGAGGCACCGAAACCATGGCTGCTGAGCAAGGTTGTTCTCCGTCATGGCTTGCCGCCGACCTTGGTTTTCTCCACCGCACACATTGAAGACCACGCAGAGGCAGCATGAAGCACCAACATGCGGCATGCAGCATGCATCATAAATAAACTCCACAGTGGTTACGGTTTGCAGCAAGCTGCTCCTTAGGAGGCGCGGCGACATCATCGAATCTTGGACGTTGAATTCCACACGGTGAGACCTCGGGCGACTCGGAACCTGAGAGTGCACATGTCTCGTCCCATGCCGACAGAAAACAGTGAGCGCTCACAACGCATCGGCTACTGAATCTGTAGTCCTGCAGTTGATGTTCTGTTTATGCGAACTTCGCGATGCTGCATGCTCTCTGACTTCTCTTGCGCCAGGAACTGGTGGAGGCTGCTGGCACTCGGGCCACATCTCGTTGAAGCTGCCGGATCTGAACCCGCGACAAGCCTGCCTGCGAACAGGGTGACAAGGTACTGCTCACAAATGTGCTCGCCCATTGCACGTGCGAAGCTAAGCTGTCTTGTTTTTAAGGGCAAGGATATCGTAAGTACTGAGAGATCGTGAGGGCCAAACGATATTTCAAGTGCCACCCAAGTCACGCCTAACCACATCGGCACAGCCACTCACGAACACACACTTTTCGGATGCCGTACTCATACCATTCAGCCCTCTGCTCGGGTGCACTGGCTTAATGGGCTTGCCTTACATGGCCTTTTGATCGACCATTGCCTGTCATGTTATTCGCTCTGTTCATATCGGGATTTGTTGTTCTGCTCGTCACGGAAGGGTCATCCAAACGAAGTGCCAGCAGTACACGTCCCGGCCTCCTCCAAGTCGGTCACCAACAAATCTGTGATGTGACCAGGTCTGGTCACACCCAGTCGCTGTAAGGATTCCATTTGAGTGGACAAACCTTTCCCGCAACAATGCATCAAGCGCAAACCATCCTCTTGCAGACACGTTATGTAACGCAGTACCTCCATCTCCAAACCAACTCTTAGCTTCTGCCGAGCTGAGGAACCATGCTTGTCCAACAAAGCTTGCAGCTCTGGATCTGCATCCGGATACTGATGCGATGCGCGCTTTCCAACTCGCTTTGGCCAGACAGCCTGCACACGTGCACAACGTGCGTGTTTGCGGATGCGGCCACTTGCTGGTTCATTCGCTTTGCCTGGCTCGCAGATGCACCGCAGCCCATTCCGACATGAGTTCACATGCGATTGCTGTGCGTAGAGCTGTCTTTGCTAATATTGCTGTTGCAATGAATAAAAATTGCTAATATTGCTGTTGCAATGAATAAAAAATGCACGAAAAATCAAGAAACACCTACCATGCCAGAGCCACCACTCTGGGCACGGCTGGTGCTGACGTGTACTTCGATAAACGTGCTTGGGAACAGCTCGCAAGCCAAACCAGATTAGATGAACCATGTTAGCAGATCATGGAATGTCGGCGAAACGTGGGGATCTTGTACGGCGCACGCACAGCGGCAACCGGCTTGATGCCCCACAGCACGTAGATCTCCCTGGCAACCGCAGCTGGGACGGCAACAAAGGTTGCCACGCAGCCCACCTGCCACCGACGAGTTGTTTTTCGTGCGCCGAGCGCGAAAGCTGAATGCTGATTATCAGCTGATTCATCACCCATTGGAAGCCGCCAAATTCGATTTCGTCCGCCTGCTTGTGTGCGGGTGCAGCAAGTGTGTCTCCCATCCCTCCCCGCCCGGCCCGCTTGGCACGTGATCTGTTCGAGCTTGTTTTTTTTTTTATTTTTGGCACCTTTTTCCGACTGGTCCGCCTGCGCGTCGGCGGAGCTAGCTGCCAGCTACAGGACTCCTACGGCGGCTCCGCCAGGAGCTCTCCGAGCGGCAGCTCGACGCCGTCGCTGGCGTCGCAGGGCCGAATCGGCAGCTCCAGCAGGCTCTGCGCGTGCGTGCGCAGGGCAGCGAGCGCTGCGAGTGCGG